CAATTTCAGACATTATAGGTCGTGTCTAGTAAACGCCGTTTTCATGACTGCATTGGTGATGTACTTAAACAGTGGGCTGATAGAATGCGAATTTGCCTCATAACACTGGATAACTTGAAGAACAGTTACAGTTTGCCGTTTATCTCGTGCGCATATTTCCTGAGCACTGAGTCCAAAGGACAGATCTGTCCACCGAATCGATGGCACTTTTGATATCCTGAAACAGGAATACAGTGGATCGACAAGCAATATGCGGATCGGGTATTATGCAATTGTAGACATAAGAAATAGACTTGCGAAGATATATCACATTTCGATCATTCTCGTCAGGCACCTACACTTATGAAGCAAATTGCGAAAAGAGGGAAGCTAACTACAGCTGCGGGGCTAGTGGTTACGTCATACGTTGAACAATGAACAATGACTTTATACGGGTTAAGAAGCTCTGTTTTGCAGGCCCCGTTGGGTAGTCTGTTGGGTTACCGCAAAACCCTAATGAAACTAAATGCGGTTAGTAGTTCTACTGTCAAATGAATGGGCTTATCGTAGGTAATGCAGTAGGCCTGCACTCCGAGTGTTGCCATGGGTTCAATAGACGTAAAAATAAATCCAAGATATTTTTCGTGAGTAGGAAGGAGAATAGTGTCAGGTAACAAAATGTAAATGGCGGCGTGCTTCATCCAACTGACTTCGAAATATGGCTAGCGTAGGTGCAGAAACAACCGCTTGGAGGAGAGAGTTCCATGGTCGACACACACGAATAGAAAAGAAATTTCTACGGTACCCCAGACGGTTGTACTGTTCTGTTAAATTCAAAGAGTGGCTTCTAAGTTTGGTGTTACTGCTGAGTTGTAGTAAAGGCTGGGACACATGATTTGGATTGTGTTAATTCAAGTATGCCATAATCAAGTCGCTTCATAATCGGCGATACCGCCCACTGTATTTGGACTATACGGTCATCGTGTGCGACTCCCAAATGGATCACTAGCAAATGCTAGACTAACTTAACAATGCGCATCCATCATCAAAATTTATTTGTGTGGTAGAGATATATGGAAAAATCCAGTGTTTAAATGTGTCATTACGACGGCGAGCTGATGGGTCCGTATAGAGCACGGTCTTTCGGAAGACAAGATAGGTTGGTCAGTATACGCATTTTCTTACCTGTGTGCCAATGAAATACAAGCGCAATTTTGTGCTCTGTTTGTACTATGGCGCTGAAAAGGATTTCATTCTTGAGAGACCACAAGCCAATAGGTATGCGGCTTCGTTTATCAAGACGTTCTGCTTTGTTTGATCCTCCAAAACAATATCAACTGTAAAGTAAAAGCACGTCTTCATTACTGCTCTTTTCAAAGGGGATATTCCCTGCGAGTTACTGAACAGAAGACTATCCACCGCAATGAGCCGAACGTACCCGGTTGCTAGGGTTCACATACTTGCCGAGACAGTTCCGCTCAACCCTAACCACCTCAGAGATAGAATTCCGGCTCATTCTGAAGTATTTGTGTTATATCAATTCACCTGCAACTGTGGTGCAATTTACTTCGGGCACACGACCAGTCATCCCTGTGACCAGCGGTGTTCACCAAGGTTGCCCTATTTCACCTTTCCTCTTCAATTTCGCCATCGAAGGTGTTCTCCAAAGAGCACTGGAAGGTGTCCAGGACTGCGGTGTTGAGCTTCTCCCTGGAGACCGACTCACGGACTTGGACTACGCCGATGAAATCGCCTTGCTGGGGGACGACTCACAATCCGTCCAGAAGGCTCTGGACCGTTTGGCGATGGAGGCGTCTAAGTACGGCCTGTGCTTCACTCCGGGAAAATGTAAAACGCTGCTCCAGGATTGGCAGGTGCCTGAACCCGCGCTCACCATTGCTGGACATGTTCTGGAGCAAATCCCTTGCTTCACTTACCTAGGGAGTTGCATCACGGCTGGTGGCGGTGTTGGAGGTGAAGTCTCACAACGGATTGCAAAGGCCCGCCTTGCATTCATCAAACTGAGACATTTATGGCGTCGTCGTGATGTCAGTCTCAAGCTCAAAGGCAGGGTGTACAATGCTTCCGTCCGTGCAGTACTCTTGTACGGCTGTGAGACTTGGCCTATTCGCTCGGAAGATATGAAGCGGCTATCAGTCTTTGATAATCGCTGTCTACGAAAGATTGCTAGGGTGTGGTGGCAACACCACGTAAGCAACGCAGAGGTGAGAGACCGCGTGCTTGGGGCGAATAGTGCCAGTCTTCAAGACGTTATTCTCCGACATCGCATGCGCTGGCTCGGGCATGTTTTGCGCATGCCAGCCCATCGCCTTCCACGTCGAGCGCTATTTCACTCCCAGCGAGCGATTGGAAAAAGTGCCGCGGTGGACAGCCGATGACGTGGAGAAGGAGTATGAAGAGGGCGACCTCAAGTTTGGCAGCAGTCGGACCAGTCCGCCTTCCAGGTTGGGGACCACGAGATGCTGAATTGCAGTGGTTGGAAACATTGGACGTCATGGCCCGCAACAGACATCAGTGGCTGCAATGTTGTTCTGCAATTTCACCATCCCTTTGATACACACAAAACTCACAGAACAAAACAAAAAATACAAAATGGCGTGTGTAAAACCAAAAAATTTCGTTTCCCATATTTTTAATCGCATTAGTGTCCCCATCTTCTTCACCTTTTTCTTCTGCCGTGGTTCTGAAGGCACAATGTCTGTTAACAGACTGTGAATATATATATATATATATATATATATATATATATATAAGTGGATAGCGGATCTCTGTCCTGCCTTTTACAACATAGCACGGTTAGGAATGTGCACAGCTCCATCACTGAGAAACTGATTACTACTGAGTATCAGATTCGAACTGAGGACGGATTTAACATCGTCTACACTGCATCGAAGCGCATTCCTAAAGGTATCAGAACGTGCGTGCTGGCCAGTGCCGAAGCAACGGCGATCAGGTTATTGTAACCTGAGTTATGCAAACAAATGATGCTAATACAAGCTCTCAGTTTACCTTGTCCGTGACTAGGATTATGTCCATATCTGACAGAAACACCGGCCTAACTGCGAGCTTTGTTCCCCTCAGTTTCTTGTATTCTTATTTCGTCATGTTTCCGTTTGTATACGCTCAACGTGGTGTCTTAACGTCTGCCATCTGAGTTTGTTCACATCAATATCGATCGGTTTCACTGACCCTACGTTAAACTGTGATGTAACCACTATCACAGCAGCTTTAGTTAGTTTCCCTGTTATCTTATTCTTTCACATAAATGTAAATGTCTGACGATAAATATTGAAAAGTGATATCTCTTCGCAAGTCTCCTAAATATGACGATATTCCAGCTACTGGCGAAAAGTGAAGTGGTGGTTAACGCAGCCTTGAGTATGATGAAAGCCAGCTTGCTTCTAGCGAATCTGATTATCACGGATGACAGCTAGTCTGTAGAAAGCGGGGCATTTGAGATTAGGCTGATTCCTGTTCGATTACCGCATTCTGAACGTCAACTTTTCTTATAAATGGTGAGTGTAACAGAGTGACTCGCTTAAATTTTGAAAGCCTTTTAATCTAAGTGTTTCCAGGTATGCTGTTTTCATGTGATCGACTCGCGTGTGAATGAAGCAATCACTCGGAGCCCATTGGCACTGTTGGGACAGAGGAATGTTTCAAAAGATAATTGTATAAGCGCATCATTCAACCACTAAACGGGATGTTATGGGGCTGACAATATTCGAACTTCTGTTCTCTGCAACGATGTGAACCCCATCTGTCCTGCGTACCATCCTTCTTATTGGCTAGCGGAACTGTATTACCGGTAGGGTAGTTAAGGTTGCTGCTGCTGTGTTGACCTAAAAAATATATCCATTTTACACCTTTTGTCCACGTTTTTGGCAACTGTTCCTCCAACAAACTCACAAGAAACGAAATTGATTTGACTGGAATCCCACAGCACTCATAGCCTATATTTATCCGGAGTTACTAGACCTTAAGTGACTACCTTGGCCGTTGTACACACTTAACATGCCATCCGTTGCTTTCATCAGCGGTATGCGTATCACCTTGGGACTACCAGATGGTATCCGATGCTGCTGCATACGGATGTAAATGTGAAGTTATTTTGATGCTGATGTGATGCATTGAGAGCCACACGAAAACTACCACCTCACTGCCTCCCTTTCTCCATGCGATAGCTAACTTTCTGTAAGCGATTGGTGTTGACAGAGTGTAGATACACGTCTACTGAAGCTACCAAAGTTTCACTTTATCACTCGTTGTTCCTCATGTACATGGTCATCTTTGTTAACTGTGCTGATTGTGTTAAATCGATGGGTCAGGGTAGAGTACTAATGCGCTCATGTTGTTTTCGATGGCACTGTTTATTGTGGTACTCATGAAATAGCCGCGCTTTCATCATGGAAGGCTATTTGTAACCCCTAAGCTACGGGCATTTTAGGAAGACGATGGGAGAAATATTGGTTTGATGGATTCGCCTAATCTCATAGAGAGGACCATGGTTGCTTGCTTCCGCGCAAGCGGGTTTCTCGTTGCCGCTTTCGGGTGGTTATTTTCTTTACGTGATTATACAGGTCTGAGGATGATTTATCGAAAGGGATTGTTTAACTTCGACCCATTGTTCTTGATTTATAAAAATAGAAAATTTTTGGTTACGTCACTTTCTTGAAGCAACAACCCCTAGACCACGTGTTCATAACGTCTTGGACGCACAGTGGTAGCCTGATAAAGATTCGTGGTTCAAGTCAATTCAAGTAA